CGATGGGGTCTTTATCTCCTTAATCGTAGTAGAAGTCTGTCTGTTCTCATGTGTCTTTTTAGTTTTGGGAGCTGACGTATTATAGCGGCGCAAAATCCAGGACCGGTTACTGCTCGATATCGTCAGCAACTTTTCTAATAGTGATACGACGATGCTCCATACGAACTTTTCAGCGATTGTTGACGTGCTAGGTCGTCCAGAGCATGTAGGGTAGATATTGTCAATAACACACGGCATTGAACACACCTCTACATATATGTCTATGTATTCCCTCAGGTGCCCAGACCTTAGTCTCGCCTTATTGAGTCCCAGATTTATGGGAGCTCGAACAGGTGCCTAGTATAGATATTTATTATGCAAGCGTAGCCAACTAAATAAGAGTGCTTTTAAAACGTGTTCCATAGTCGTGCATAAAATAGCGATTTCTTTTCAAAGTACGTGACTTTACCTATTTTATGTATAATATGCAAATTGTCTATTGCTCATTGCTTGCAATAATTTTTGAATTCAAACATACATTGCTTTAACTTTTCTTTCTCTAGGAGAATTTTCTATTACTTTAATACTTTATACAAGATTTAACTTTAACGGAAATGAAAACTGTTTCCGTTTACACATGTACAAAAAAAAAAAAAAAAAAAAAAAAAAACGATAGAAATAAAAATCACTAGACAAGGACAAAGTAATTGCGGGAAAGTTTTGTTTATGCGGTTAAAGCAAAATATACACAGGCACGCACACATACAAATTCACATTTAAGTAATTAAAGAAATGCTCACACATTTATCATTGATATGAACTTGAGACTTGGAAAAAAAAGCACGTTCAAACGTCTAGGGGAGAGGAAGAAGGAGTAAGGGAAAGAGAAAGAGAGAGCGAGAGAGAGAGAGAGAGAGAGAGTGAAACATTTTCTGTCCATTATAAACGACATAATAGAAACGTTCCAAGGAAATGCACTGTGTGACATGAAAAGATATAAACACGCGCACAAATTGATGACCTGGTATGGGCAACGTGTGACCGTTTCCAATTGACAAAGATTTAACCGAGTTCATTGTCGTTGTGTTGCCATTGTTATGGCACTCGGTATACTTTTTTTAACAAGTAAAAGTTTATTTGTGTAAATTTTAATATATTTTTTTTGCAAAGCGCTCCCCTTTTTTAAGGGTTTTGTTTTGTTGCTGCGTTTTTGTGCGCACAAGTTAAGCGAAAGATAATGAAATTGCTTTTGGGGTTTCGGTGGTTAAGTCAAATTAGCCAAGAATTTGCTTCCCCGATATATATTTTACAATAATACATGATATGAAGTTTGTTGTTGCTTTTGCTGTTGCTGTTGCTGTTGCTGCTGTTGTTGTTATACAAAACAGATTGGTAGTCAAATTTTTCTCTTCTGCTTTACAATTCCTTTTCAAACACACACATATTAAAATATATTATATTTAAACCGATCCTTTGGGAGCTGAAACCGTACACAGCATGACAGAAAAACACATTTCATAAGCATGCAACTGAATGTAAACGTGCAACATTGAGTAAACAAATTTCGAGCACGTGCCTTGTTTTATATGTGAAAGCGTACCGTGATTTTGAGTCAATATTTGTGCCGGAAGTTCGCGTTGATGTTTAAAACAAATTGAAAGATCTTTCTTTTTTACGAATGTGTACGATTTGCGCTTCATGAAAAAATAAATTAAATATTTATTCGCTGACTAAAAGCTCATATTGTGAATGTGAGTGATTGTATATTTTGTTGCCTATAAATATAAACGAAAAAAGTTATTGTTAATAAGACGATGAAAACGTTAAAAATTCCAAGCGAAACTAGCAGCATTTCAGATGGATCTCCTTTATAAAGCATTAATTATAAGTAATAACTAATCCACTTACCAGTTAATGCAATATATATTTTTTGTAAACAATACACTTTAAATATTTAATAACCATAAATTATTATTATATTTTCGACAACTAAAATTTTATTTAATAGATTTATTTAAAAATTTTTTTATTTTACTTATTAGATGTCTTGCTAATTGCTTTTGATTTGAATTCGCTTTGAATTTCACATAAAAGAATTAGATTCTACAAAAAAAACAAAGCACGCTGTCTGAAAAAAAAAGTTGCAAGACATCTTTAACAAGTGGAAAAGAAGAGGCAAATATCTTCCACATAACCACACCAATACCCTCCACAAACCTGTCATAACCACACTTGCATGAATTATGATCAAAATACCTTCGACAAACCTGCCATAAGCAAACTAATACCTTCCCCAAACCTGTCACAACCACACTAATACCTTCCACAAACCTGTCATAATCTCAATTGCATGAATTATGATCAAAATACCTTCGACAAACCTGTCATAATAACACGAATACCCTCCACAAACCTGTCATAACCACACTAATACCTTACACAAACCTGTCATAATCACACTAATATCCCCCACAAACCTGTCATAATCACACTAATATCTTCCACAAACCCGTCATAATAACACACGCATGAATTATGATCAAAATACCTTCGACAAACCTGCCATAACCAAACTAATACCTTCCCCAAACCTGTCACAACCACACTAATACCTTCCACAAACCTGTCATTACCACACTTGCATGAATTATGGTCAAAATATCTTCCACAAACCTGTCATAAGCACACTAATGCCCTCCACAAAGCTAGCGTCGGGCAACAAATCGACTAAGAAGCTGTCTCTCATTAATTTAGAAATAATTTTTTTAGCTTTTTTTAAAATTTAAATACCATAGTTTCTTGCATTCCATTAGAGACTGCATTTATCGCGCAAGATTACTTCGACTCTGAAACCTCTGAAATTTTCATATGAGGTCAATTTAGAATTCTCTAATGTTGCAATTGGAGGATAATAGCAGAGCGATTGTAATCGCAATATGACATAGAATATCCTTCAACTGGTGTATTGTATATTATTATTGCATTGTCTTATTAACGATTTGCATCTACATGTCTGTTCATAGCGTTAATAATAATTTATGTATTGATGGAGAGCTTATCAATGTATTTACATTTTTAGAAATTATGGGTTGAAACATAAACATCCACGATGGTCGATGATCCTTAATCCTGTTAATCCTGTTTACGTATGTAGGGCTTTAAATAATGAAATTATATAGAAAAAAGAATTCACGAAATGTCGATGAACTTACATGGCGCTTACAGAGAAACTGAGAAGACTCACTGCAGGAGCTTCCCTGTCTTAATATCACATATTCACCTATCCATGCGCATTAAAATGTGTTTGAGTTAGAATCTAAGTACTTGGTAATGAATGCTGTGGCAGATATGTAAGTAACGAATGTAGAAAATGACAAAGACTGACGAATTGTGTAACATATCCCAAGCTCAACTTTCTGACGAAGCACAACAAAGCTAAGGTAATTTCGGATAGCACTCTACTCGTCCATGCTTCCGCAATTTGTAACAATCGTGTTTAAGAGTAAAAATAGTGTTTTCGGGAAACCAACGTGGAATTAAGTTCAATCCATCAAGCATTGCAATTATAAATGCAATTACTTTTGCCTCTTTCTTCCTTTCTTTATGGCACGTAGAAATTCCTAGAAGATTCCATTAAAAAACAGCTGCGGTAATAATTGTGTCCGGCTACTAGCTGCATGGAACGGCTTGTAGCGTGCTTAGCAATAGGTGAATTAATTAGCCAGGTTGAATTATCGAATTTTTTTGATGCCGTCCTTATTAAAAGAGAAATATATATTCAGCAACACTTTTTAAGCTTTTTCGCTATCGCAAGCATTATGCACACATACACACAAAGCACGCGAGCATTTGAGTTTACTTTCTTTCTACTTTAAGTTTTTTATTCACCTGTTGATGTTAAGTATAAATGAAGTCTAATTTATTTTCATGTTTCACTCATTTTGCAAAATATTTTTAAAAATTCATTTCATTATATTAAGAATTGCAATATTTTCAAGTCATGTCAGTACACTTTTAATTTATGCCATTTAAGTAGAAGAGAAAAGAGTTTTTATTTAACTAAACATTAATCATAATATGAAATTAAACATAATAAGTGTGTTTTTTTTATTCGCTTTTAGCTTAAGTATATAAATACAAAACCATAAATCTACTTCTTATTTTTGTTGTTGCTGCTAGCAATTAACGGAAGTTCGTACCGTTCCACACGAAAAATTCGCACAAACAAGCAATAGAAAAAAAAAACCGTAAACAGCTGAGTTCAATGCATGCGCATTGCATTTTCAGTCTTTTTTCGCGGGAGGGAAAGACGGAACGAATGAGAGAGAGAGAGAGAGAGAGAGTTTGTTCTCATAATGTGAAAACAATGCACTGAGAAAACATTAGGAATGAAGTTGAAATGAAGTAACTAACTTATTAGATAGAATCTGAATGCTCTCTTTTCGCCGTCTAAGCAAACAACAGATACAATTGCTTGTACATTTTCAGCACACATTTAATGTTTCATGTGTTTCATATATGAAATAACATATAACTATTAAAAGATTTCTCTCTTAATGGGTAGAATAAAAGGATGGAACGTCCATGTATGCAGCGCATTTAAACGTTAGTGCGTATATATATGTACGTAGATGACTGACTTCGTCTACTTTACCATATGGCTGTTTATCCACACACTTAAATGCAAGTATTTCAATTTTTATATCGGTTCCAACCATACCACAATTCCATATCTAACCATTCTTTTCGATTTGTTTAGTTAATCGTTTACTCTGAGAAATTGAATTTTATTCTCAGCAAAATTTAAAAAGTCACTCAGGGGTTTTCATAAGAAATGTACATGTAGGAAAGTAAATTTACTCGGAGAATTTCAATTTTATTCTCCGAATGAGAATAGACGACGAGAGGCGAGCAAAAGGGAAAAAGAGCAAAATAAAAAGAAAATAAAAATTTAAGTCGGAATCGGAATGTGAAACACAAGCACCACTAGTTGGCTGCAAAATATTGTTACGTTACAATTATTGCAGCAATAATTGAATATACAAGTCTCGTTGATGTCGGCTCGGGAACGCGTGTCTTTGCTTCTTCTAGTTGCTGGTTATAATTTTTGTTGTTATTTTAAGTTTTGCTAAAAAATAAACCATAAGAAAAAAATAAAAAATAACAATTATTAAGTGTATGTTTTTTTCTTTCTTATACTGATATATATGTGTATGCAAATGTGTAAATGAAAGTGCGCTAAATGGTTCTTTTAAACCATATAAAATAGCAAATTAATGCCCATTAATTAAAGAGAAAAAAAGAATTAATTTCAAAATAAATGTAGTCGTCTACATCCTTCTGCAAAACGTGACGTGATTTGATGACAGCTGCCGTCTGTCACCTGCTTCTTTGATTTGTTGCCGGTACATACTATTATTTATTTATTTATTTGTTATTTTTTTTTTTTAACGTTTTCAATATAATTTTCCTGTGCGGTTTATATCAATACTAACATGTTCGTTTTGCTTATGTGTCAAGCACTGTTATAATAGTAGTGTGTATGCAAGAGTTTGTAAAACAATCTCTTTACTCTTGTAAGTTAAATTGATCTGAATTTATTTCTAAGCAACCTACGTATTTTTGTTCTTGTTTTTTTTTTTTTTATTGTGAAATAATAATTACAAAAGGCAAAAAATAATTATAAACAATTTAATAGTAACGGAACTGAACGTAAAAGTTCATTTCATTTCGTGGGGATAACGACAACTGATGGATTTGTACTCACAATTCTGAACGTAAGTTTAATAATATGTGAATGAAAATACTGCAGCCTTCGTCTAAAAGCAAATACTGATACATGATTCACAATAACTCTTAAATAACTCGCTAATGATAAAAGAATCCTTTTCCAAAGTCATTTAGACAAACTTCTATAACGTAAAGGAATCTTTGAGTTATGTTCATAAAGTTCCGATATGCATACAAATGCTATATATATATGTGTTAAACAAAATTTGGATTTTTGGTGAAAACTTGCCCTGATGTTTTTTTTTGAAATTCTTTTCGAAAGCGAGCAGAAAAGCATTTAAAGCCTAACTTCACTCACTAGAAATCCCCGTAACCAGCCGTAACCGATTGTTAAGTATTACGCCTTGAGAACCTTTGGTTGATGTAAGATAACTGACTTGTTATTGAAGAAACTGCCTAAAGTGATTTTCGGTTAACTAAGTCTAAATTAACTCTAGATGAAAAAACCTTATCTGAGCGAGATTGCAAATCGCCTTTTAAATTAATCTTTGCTACAATTGTGGTAGTGTCAGAGTAACGACTCCGCACATTTTAAAGTTCTGCAGCGTGATTTACAACATTCAAATCTACCCAAGATTAGAATGCAGTTCGCATGTATGCGGACTCGAACTTTCAAATCTTGTCTGGATAATCTCGATCGCGTCCAGTGCAGTACTGGAAAGAGGTGCGTTTGTCTAACATTCTTAAGCATTGACGTAACATGAATTGTATTATGTATAAGTATCTTCCAGGTAAATATTTCAAGCAAAGAAAAGAGGTTTGTCCGCGATTCAAGACCACTTAGCTTTCGCAATATCCCCTCTGTTTGTTGCATAACGTAGCTCCCGTTCTTTAATTCCCCGTTCTTGGAGCAACATACCTCTTGTTCCAAAACAAAGTGGCCGACCGAATATATATACATACATCTCTAGATAGACTAGATCGAGACTAAAACAAAATCCTAGTTCCTGAATATGGTCCGAAACGGTTTGTTAAGCTGAACCGAGACTTTCCGGCCAAAAGAAAGATTTTGCTCTAACATAATGTTAGCACTCGAAATCACCTAAATGAAATTTTTCTGCCAAACCTTCACCAAACACTTTCAATAAATTTCTACATACTTTCGTAACATTTCTTCTTTTACGAGTACGCATAAGATGACATTATAGTTTAGCGACAAAAAGTAGAGCCAAATATTGCGTCAATAGAATATGCCCATCAGCATTGCCGAAAATCCGACCGAATTAGTCGCCGTTCGAGAAACAGCAACAAACAGTCACTCCTCGGAGTTGGAAAAAGTCACTCGATTGTTACTTCGTATGCTAGAGTTTTTCGGAAACTCAGATGCGATAGTTTTGGTTACATAACCAGATAGGTGAAAACGTGCCGTCACACTTTTAATAACTTTGTTTTTAAAATTCATGACATTTTTCATGTCTTTCAGGCAAATTGTATATGGAAAGATGAGCAATGGCGTGAAATTTAAAACGACATCCTTGCTTGAGTTGCTCTATAAAGGTTAAATAAAAAATGCGCAAAACAGCAAATGTATAAAGCATTAACATTGTATACAATCTATTCATTTATTCGATATCCAACCAATGCAAAATATTGAAAATTGCGTAGAAATTAAATTCTTTAAAGGTTAAACGACTTTCACGCGATGCATATGTTAACCGAACACAAAGTTTCGCAGAGCAGAGCAGATTCTAGACTTTGTAAGTGGACTCTACTTTGCATTGTTCGAGTTTCTGTTACTCAGCAGATTTTGCTCAATTGGCTCTTAATTCGCTCCCGAATTTGGAGAAATATTGCGCCAATGCCAGTGGTTAAGCTAATGCGAGTTTAAAAGACATTTGAAAAATCGCTTTAAATTAAAACAAAAAAATCTTAAAGAAAAGAACATGTTACGAAACGAATATGTTGTATACATTTCCAGATATTTCTTAAATATTTCTTCTTCGTTGCTATTTTCTATTTTTATCTTTTCGCATGTCTAAGCAGCGAGATTATACAAAACTAATTATTTTCGTATCAATATCTTCTACTACTGTATCTGTTATGTGGCTAACCCGCACATTGCTCCAAAAGATCTAATGCGCTATATAAATTTCGCTCAGCCAACATTTCAGTTCGCAAATTCTCGAAGAAGGTTTTCCTGTATTTTTTTTTTTAGGTTTTCATTTGGAAATGTCGACACACTTTTGTTTAGGCCATGGCAAGATACATCTTAGAGCCGCCAAAAAAAAACACTTTTATGAAATTGGTTTTAATAGATTTATTGTCCCATTCTTTGCATATAAAAATGTTAGGATTACAATTTAGGTTTACTTTATTTAAAAAAAAAAAAAATTTCCAATCAAATCTGGTTATTGCAATAAATTAACCTTAACGATAGATAAATCAAATCGAAAATATTCAATTAAAATTCCAAGCCGTTATAGTTATGTATGTAAAACAATGGTTTGAAATATATTTTTTTAAATAAATTTGCATAACACAATTGGGCTAATGTTGACGGTCGTGAAAATGATGAACGGAGCGATTGAGTAGTGGTTTCTTGTTCACTTTGTTTACTTTAATATTTATATTGGGTCGAATAATTTAAGATAAGCATCAAGTTCCAAGATTTCAAGAACTATGAGTTCAAAAAGGACAAGAAACAAAACGAACAGGACGTCTTCAAGCTATGGATGAAAAGTGATAACATCTAATGAGGCATACAACATAAAAACAGTAAATAAATATTGAACATTTTATGCTGTACCGTGTCACTTGAATGAAATCCTCTGTCTACATTATAACTTTCACTTACCAAGAATTTCTAATAAAATATATCTGAATCGGTTGGACGAAGAATTTTATAAATCTTTTAGGATTACGAAGATTTGTGATCAGATCTTCGTTGCATTAATAGCACGATCGCTCTCTTTCTAAATATTGATAATCAGGACATTGGATGGAGCATAAAATCGAGTGACAGGGATGACAAAGATCTTTCGTTGCAAATGCACTAAAAGGAGATTTAAAAAGATTGAACTAAGGCGGAAGTGTTTAACAACAAAGGAATCCGTTTGCTAAAAAGTCACTTGCATTGAACATATTTACGTTAAGCGCTTAGCTTAAATTAAAACACGGCTCGTCCCTAAATAACCTCCGCACACCCCAATTATCATATTAGAACTTTTTTATGCTGATTCGAATCAGTTTCAATAGCGTTCATCCTTACGCCAAAACATGTTTGTGTATCTAATTTCATGGAAGGATCTAAAAAATTTCTGCCTGTAAGCGGAACACAAAAAAAAAACGGGACAGACAGACAAACTTGAAATCACTTTCTAAATCGATCGGTATAATAAAAGGTGGGCCTATCCCAAGTCCTTCTGGACGTTGCATAGATCCGCAGAAATTTAATACATCTTTGTTCTACAAATGAGAGACAATGTAGTGAGGGGACAGTGGTTGTGGATTAAGCACACGACTCTTAGAGTCTGACGAACACATAAACCAACGGTTAACTATTACTCGGCGCTAAACTTCTTAACACTCGGGTGCTATTGCAGTTCTTCGAAGTCAGCATCCAGACATCTAGTTTTTAGTTGGGTTTAGTCGGGTTTCATGGAAAAGACATGGCGTTGGTAAATGAGACGCTTCATTTGGACATAGATCGTCTTTATTATACATCACATAAAAGTACTGCCTAATAATAACTAAAAATGGTTTAAAAATAAATAAAAATAAAGCTACGATGTAATTGATAGCGGCTCAGCTAAATTCATAGCGCGTAAAACTTGAACTAGACATTGTTTGCACACGTACCGGCTTTAGCTAATAATTCAGTTACTAAACTAAGGCGCTAAACGATCAAGTTTTGTATAACGTCGAATAGAAGAGGCTACGCCACACGCCATAAGGGTCAGCAATGCTCTTACATTACCGTTAAATTGGCTTCATACAGACGCCATCCATGTAGCCTTTGATAAATTATCGAAGCGTTTATGTTCTACCCTTCGAGGCGTTACCTTTTCATGTTGTTTTTCCATATACTTAAGATCTTAAGGTTTATTAAAAAGTCGACCAGCATACATGGAAATATTGAAAAGAAAGCTGCAGTCAGTGTTCGTGTCCCTAAGAAATGCTAAGAAATGTCAATAACAACAACCTCTACCTATTTACAGCTTCCCTTCGAGCTTTATTAAAAGTTTTACACTAAAAAATTACAGAAAAAACTTGCACTGTTAATAAACGTATATGTATATATATTTCGATCAAGGTTAAGAGGCAAATATTTATTTCTTTGCTAATCAAAAATATTCATTCAAGTGAGAGAAGTGGCTGGAACAGCGAAACAACTGTGAATGAAATAATTCACTACTCGCGATAACAAGCGATAATAAAGATATGGACCGGTAACCTATTTCTCTTTCAAATCTTCACAGCTGAAGTGGGTAGTGTTCATTCATCATTCAGCCTAAGGAAAACGAGTCATTCTTAGAAAGATCGAAGTTGGCCACCTATGCTTCGTATCGCAGAATAATAGCAAAGAGATCGTTATAAATAAGTCTGCAATTCTTCAGTTATACGCATAAACATACATTTTTTTATGGTAATTGTAATAGAAAAAAAAAAAAAAGAAACTTATAACTTATTGAAATATATAGAAATATGCAAATGCATAAAAAGTCGCACGTATAAATAGATAATTGAGTATATTCAACGAACCAGATAGCCATTCCGACAATCTAGCAGACCTTTTCTATCCAATTCACTGTTTTGTTATTTTGTTATTAGCATAGTTGATGTTGATTTGAATAACAAATGTACAATCAATTCAATCCAATTGTGTGTGCATGAGTATGATATGAGCAGCTTTATACATATATATATATATATATATTATGATGACGATACATCTATGGATCTAAATGCCTAAATGCTTTATATGTGCGTACGTATATTATATAAAGTATTTATATATATATATATATATATATGTTTACAAAGTCTC